TCACTAACAGGGGAATTTTACTGTCATCATGTCATGTGTTTGTCTTTTTAAAGACGAATTACATGCTATGATTTTTTTCTGACGGATATTCTCAAGTTAAAGTTGATTTCATGTAATCGAATGAACTATCTTATAAGTAAAGTCGTCCCAGGAGCGCAACTCAACAATATTGGCAATATCATTTTAAAGTCATCTACTTTAAAATGCATAATGTATGTCGGAATTGTCAATATAGATGAGTCAGATAAAATTAAATTATGAGAAGAATTTTTCACTATGTAACAAAAAACAAAATTTGTTTAATTTACTGTTTGTATTTTGAGAACGATTTCCGAAGTGGAAATTGAAACGTCAATAAACGTATTTTTATCTTTAATTGTGGCTTATTCCCAGTTTAATAGTAATTAACAAAATTCATAATTTGAGAAATTATGACCTGTAGCGGTGTGCTTAGTAGGTCCACTAAAAGTTAACATCTACAGTCTTTACATCGCTCCTAATTCTGATCCAAGCATAGCAGACATCTCTAATCTAATTGACTCAAAAAAATTGACAAAAATGGGAAAAAATAGAAACTATCCTAAATAATCTCAATTTAAATCTACTTAATGACTGCAGGAATACTCGATATAATGCAGCAACAGGAGAGTTTTCAGCAATTGATTTGTTAATTTGTGAACCAAAATTGCAACCTAGTTTATCGTGGAACGCTTTACCTAATCGATATGGAAGTGATCACTTTCCCATGTTAGTTAACAATCTGTTGTACAATAAGCACAATACACACATCACCAAATGGTCCTTAAATAAAACCAACTGGATACTATTGTTGATATTGATTTCTTCATCATCTATGAATCTTAGAGAAATATTAGACTCAGAACAAGATATTAACGAGAAAACATCCTTTTTCAATAAAGTCATCATTGATGCAGCGAATAAGTCCATTGGAAAAACAGCTTTTCATCCAAAACATTCACCTGTACCGTGGTGGAACGATGCGTACAAACAGGCAATAAGGGAATCTAAAACGTCTTTTAATAGATATAAACGATATAGAACGACTGAAAATCATTTGGAATTTAAAAGAATAAGAGCTAAATGTAGATTTATTATTAAAAAAAGCAAGCAAGAGTCATGGCAAAAGTTTGTTTCCGAAATCAATAGATCTACTCAAATTAGTCAAATCTGGAACATGATCAGAAGTATAGATATCTGAAAAAAATTCACCAACACTATAAAGTACTTAATAAAAGGCAATCAGACATTTACGTCCGAATGCAATATATCTAAAATAATGGCAAATCAATATTGTACCGCTTCCAGTGATGAAAGCTAATATCTATTCTAAAACCAACTAAACCAAAATCAGATCCACAAACATACCGACCGATATCATTCACATGTAGCATAGGTAAAGTATTAGAAGAAATAATAAAGAATAGGTTTATGTGGTATTCGGAATCAAACAAATTAATTATTCTAGAACAATGTGGTTTCTCGAAGCATTCGCAATAAAACAGCACTGTGTTGGAATATTTTTTGATATAAGCAAAGCACATGATATAGTTTGGAAATATTCAATTATTAAAACACTCAGCAACTGGTTGATAAGGGGTAACATATTAAAGCACATTTCAAATTTTCTTGAAAACAGACAATCTCAAGTTCAAGTGAACTGAACATATTCTCAAACAAAAATTCAACAAAATGGTATGCCAGAAAGATTAAACTTTAGTAGATAGCAATAAATTCGATATTAACACAAATTGAAAACCCCGTCAAAGCTAGATTATACGCTAACGACCTAGTTATTTTCTGTAAAGGAAAAACCATAACAACGATTCACAATCACATTCAACAAGCGTTAACACACATTGAGAAATGGTCAGCTACAAGTGGACTTCAGTTTAACACTTTCTCGTGTTTCGTTTAAATCGATTTATAAAGAATCTGTATGTCGTAAAAAAATATTTCAAATAAAAAATGAAGCTGATAAAAGTGTGAACATAATACTAATAATATTTATTAGCACTTTTTGTATAAAATAAACCGTTCTCTCAAAAACAACGCTTTTAGTGACAGGGCTACGCGCGCGAAATCAATTTTAAACAAAATTTGTATCAGCATAAATATATTATGTAAGCAGCATTATGTAATTTTCTTGGATCAACCGGAAATGATTATTTGGTTACATGTTAAAACCTGTCCTATGGTCATACTGATATAACCCTAGACAAGAAATTTTTGTCCAAGGATATAACGTTCTCTATTAACCATTAGGACACCCCCTTTTGGGGATGAAAACTTCCCTACCCCTATATGAAATATAGAAAAGCTGTTTTTTTAATAATGTTATTTTCCCATTATAATTTTGCCTTTTTTAACATTGATGTTATCTGAGTGTGTTGATGTTTTACCCAGTTATGAATACACACTGAATTATATATTTAGCATTTGATTTATATTTAAAGTTATGTTTTACGTCTTAATTATTTATTTGGTTCATGTTTCAATTAAAGGGAATATTAAAGTTTGGGCACAGTTTAATGCTAAAAGAATTTTGCATGATACTAAGACAAAAAGATAAGATATTGCGCATAAGTCGTGACGTCATTGGAGAGTTTGACGTTCGAAATGTCAGTTTTTTGTATGTATCAATAAATAATCTTTTTCTACTCTCTTACTAGTAAATTGTATATTACCTACTATTTGGATGCTAAGTAAATGCATCATAACAGATACTGACACGTAATGACTAGCACGTAATAAAAAAAATTACGCTTCAGTTCTATAAAAATGTGTAATATCACATACGCCTTGTAAGTCAGTTGGTCGAGTTACCATGGAAACGAATTAACAGGCGTTGTTTTGACAGGTTAAAAATTATTAATCTGTCAGTGTAAATATAGTGGTAATTTAATTTTTATTTTTATAAACAAAAATAATGGTAGAAAAAGTATAGTACACAACTTGAGTTGTAAACTTATTACATGCTTGTAAAATTACTGCGCTCGCCGCTACGCGGCTCGCGCGCAACTTTTTTACTCGCATGTAATAAGCTTCTTACAACTCTCGTTATGTAATATACTATTAATAAATAGTAATTTCAGTAATTTCATCACAGAATGCATACAAATCCCATTTAACTTTAACAACAATTCAAATTCTACTCTCCAATGACGGCATGCGCGAACACGACCTATTTTATGCTACGGGAAGATCCTATCTTGTTATTCATAGTATCATGCATGATACTATGAATAACAAGATAGGATGTTCCCGTAGCTCAAAATCGGTCGGGTTATCTTCTTCTCTTCTTTATTGACATTAGGTATAGAACCTTTTAAAGTCATAAGGAGACACGCAGAGAGTGATCTATTCATTAACCACCCTGTATCACAAAAATAAATAATTAAAAACATGCAATATATCTAAGTTCTGGGAATTTTGTACATAATCCAAAAAATTTATAATATACCTAACCAATGTTTCATTTAAAATAAGAAAGTTGGTATAGTAATTGATATATAACATCAGTCAACATCCTGTATATAAAATAAAACCTTTAATTTTGATTTGCTATTATTTACTATTAATTTTAGAGTTATTCTTATGCAACCAACAATACACATAAACCTCATTGTCACATTCAGATGTGGATACAAATCATCGAGCAAAAAGACAATCTTATTGCTCGATGCTCTAGACACATGATACTATAAACTACAGATAAACCCACGCGCACGCGATCAGTCGTGTGACGTCACTTGGCGACAAATGTCACCAAAAATGTTCTGTGTTGTATGGAGTTTTGTCAGATTTAGTCAAGGTTAGTAGATATTTAAGTATCTACTTAAATATCTACTAACCTTGAGATTTAGTTTTGTTTTATCGTTTATCTTGTACGTTGACATCGGTTTACTGGGTAAACCATCTTTCCGAAGGAGGTTTACTTAAACCATATCCAGATTTTCTAATTAAATGTAATGAACTGGACCATATTTTTAACAATTTTAACAAAGGGTCAAACAAATTAACCAAGAATTATTTAAAATCGCTAATGGATTTAGCTGTGTTCAGATGTAATGTTAGTAAAGAGTGTAAATTATATTTTAAAATTAGAAAATTGAATAGATATATTAAAGAAACATCCAAAGTTAAGAGGAAGAAAATATTAAAAATTGTAAAATAAATTGTTAAATAAACTTGTAAATTATTACAGTGTATTTTATTTTATCAGTTTTATTAAATTTTTATTTTAATAAATCAATCCATTGTATATAAATTTCCATTTGCAAAAGGATGTTTAGTTCTTACTTTTTTATATAATTTTAGTTTACATTGCTAGGCTAACAGCGAGATGTATATATAACATATTTTTAAGATTTAATTGCAGATATTTTACCTAACATCCCTTAATATTCTAAATATTTAAATAAAAACCCCTTTCTTTCCATATATATTTTACCAACTGTGATGATAAAAGGTTGGTGATAAAAGTGACTTTTATCACCAATTGACGTCATGCGCGTCGATGTACAAAATACGATTGCGAAGTGGGTTTATCTTGGAAGTCTTAGCACAGAATAATAAACAATCAGAAGGGCCACTCTTAGATGCCGCCTTTGAAGTTTTTCAGCACGCGCGCCATGTTTTAGGAGGACACAGACATATGATTTGTGTGGTTATGTAATTGTTTATATTTATGTTTAATTATATTATATTTATGTTATTATATTTAACAATGTTAATATAATTGTATAGTATGTCTATGATTGCCGTAAGTCAAATAAACCTGGTTAATTTTTCCATGCACACCACATAAACAACACTAATTTCTTTAAAATCCTCCTAAAAAATGGCGGAACGTCTGCGCGGAGGAGATGCGCGTACTTAATTTTCCGTGGAGAGTGGGTATTCTGTTTGTTTATTATTCTGTGGTCTTAGTATCATGCTCTAGACACTAGTCCAATTTATACGTCATTGAATCGATTAGACGATTAGACATTAGTTAACCTAACCTAAGTTTTAGATTGTTTATGTTTATCAATTAATTTCTTGTACTGTAAAAACAATCAATCATAAGTTAAACATGACGGAATCTGATTCAAAAATTGGGCGTCTAGAAGATGAAGCTTTAAAAAGAAAAGAAAGATTAAAAAACCTAAAACGGAAAAGGCAAAGTGATAGTTCCCAAGGTAATAACAAAAAGGGCACCGAGGGTGAAGCTCTTCCTACACCATCATTTAGAAGTTACAAGCCTATTAATGAGAGTTTAAACGAGTTTGCACTTAATCCAGCAGAACCCGGAGATGTAACCACACAGGTATAGTGCATAAAATAATAATATTAGTGGGTTGAGCCTAGTAGGCCCATGGCTTGATTTTCCTATATCCCTTGACGTTGAGTATTTTTAGATCATTTAAATCCATCCTACTATTGTAATTGACAGTATCATTTTTGGTAGTTTACCCTCTGGTATCCTCTGTATGTGTCCTAGCCATCTTAGTTGTTGGGTTCGTATTACTCCTGTATGCTGGACTTCCCATATCAGATCTTTATTTGTCCTGATCCAAACTCTGTGCTCCATTTTTCCTTCAAATATTTTCCTTAGTACTTTTCATTCCCATATCTGTATCATTACTTGTGTTTTTTATTTAATGGTATTGTCTCATTGATGCATAATATACTATAGACCTAAATATACTATTCTGCCTATTGCAGAATTAGGCTTTCATTTGCATAAAATTTGACATTAGAATGACAAAACAATAATTTGAATAATGTCAACTGTTAGAACATTAAGAAAACTGTCACAACATTAAGAACACTAGATTATACTACCTTCACCCGGCCTATTAACAAAATCTTGCAAATATCTTTTTTGATTTTTAATTCTAGCTGATTTATGGCTAGATTAAAAATCTGAATTTTCCAATGAATGAATTGTTTTTCTAAAAGATCAACCTCTTCAACTAAAGGATCGAACTTACTTCTTCCTACAAATTTTCTTTGTAATACTTTGCTGAATCTTTATGTGATGAAGGAATAGAAGTGTGGTGTAGTTCATCTTGAACAAATGTTCATGGGGTGTACAATTGGTTGTTGTACACAGTAAACTGCATATAGAGTGCAAAGCATCTCATTTCAAACAGTTTCCCATTTAGTGGTGTCTAAATTTTTGGTTTCCAATGCTAGATTCACCGCTTTCCATATAACTCCATTGTATCTTTCGACTTGGCCATTTCCTTGGATATATGGTGTTGTTACACTTTAGAGTGTAAATAATTAATACATTTATGTGAAGTTAAGCTAGTTTCCTATCAGAATGTATATATGCCAGCATTCCATATAAACAAAATAGTTGATTCTTCAATTACTATCTGACTAGATGTATCTGAGCATAAAAAAGCCCATGGAAATCTTAAAAATCCGTCAATGATTGTAAGCATATAGGAATTTCTAGAAGAACTGGGTATTGGACCTTTAGAGTCAATGTTGTGATATTTCGACCAGAGCTGTTGATTTGATTAAATGTTCATCAGCCTCTTTCTTATTAAATCTGGGCTTAGTTTCTGCGCAGATTGGACAAGTGGTAATTACTTTTTTAATTTCATCTAGACAATAAAGTAAATTTCTAATTTTTATAAAATGGTATATACGATTAATCCCAGGATATGATCAATCTGAATGTAATTGTTATAACTTGTTTGTATTATTTATATTATTGCATATTCTTGATAGTGCATCAGCTGCATCATTAGTCTTTCCTGGATGATAAATAATATATTTAAAACAAGAAAGCTCCAAATGCCAACACATAATTTTTTCATTTTTTATTATTTTACTTGTATGGTTTGTATTAAACATGAATGAAACTGATTTTTGATCTGTGATTAGTTTGAATTGCCTTCCTATCATATAATGTCTTCATTGTTGCATAATGTTTTGCTATTCCAGCGTGGCAGGAATAGCAAATTCAGATGAATCTGTTTCAACAATAAGAATTTATTTTTCATCAATTGTCCATAGAAGTGCATTAGCTATATCAGTTCTCAACTCCTCAAAAGCAAATATTAAGTCTGGACCTAATGGAAATTTATTGCAATCTATAAGACTTCTAATTTTTGCTGGAAAATTATTAACCCATTTTGAGTAATGTGAAAACATTCCAAATGTCTTCTGAAGACTTTTATAATTATTACGAATTGATAAATATAGTAGAGTCTTCAATCTGTCTGAATCAGGTTTCTTTGTAGAGTTTTTTATTGTATATCCCAAAAACTTAACTTTTGATTGTAGAAACACAGATTTTAAGTTAACCCATATTTTTAGCAGCATTTGAAAAATTCTGTATGTCATCTAAATAAGCATAAACACCTTGTAGATTTTCTTTTTTTAACGATGGAATCAATAGCTCTCTGAAAACATGATAGTCATTGGTAACCCCAAAAGGAATATGATGGAATTGGTAAAGGCATCCATTTGCCTCAGAAAGATGTACCTAAATAGTTTGTCAGATTTTGGTATTTGATGATACACGAATTTTAAGTCAATTGAGCTGAAAATTTTATATTTTGATATCTTAGATACTAGTGAATCTATATTCAGCAAAAGATAAACATCAAGTAATGTAAATTGTGATTTTTGTGTTTACTTACCAAAACTTGGGCCCTCAGAGGTGATTTACTCTCTTCAATCATTTTTTCTCTAAAGAGATGCTTGACTTTAACTTCAATAAGACAACATATTGCCGGCCCAATGCCAAAACCATGAATGTGAAAAATCGTGATTTGGAGATATTTGGATTTGAAGGTTTTGATACTCTGTGAAAATTCAGATTTTTGTCAGAATAATTTTATTTCTTGGGAGATAAATAGCATCTACTTTGACAGTTTATGACTTGCTTATTATTTTTTCTGTTTATTATACATATTCTTGGATTTGTCATTGCAAAATTTTCTTTTAAATCACTTACAGTACAATAAGAAAACCTAATAACACAATGATTTTCAATATTTTTAATAATTTGAAATATCAATTAACATGTGTATTTTCATTGGGAAACTAGGATAAACTCAGGAGCTATAAATCTAAGAAAACAAAACAACTTAAACTTCTAAATCATTGGCAAAATAAACTATATAAACGAAAAAGGTTTTCTCAAAAAATACTGAAAATACAAAAGGAACTAAATTCATATGCTTGAATGAGCATTATCTCTCGCAGTATGTGACTGGAGTGGTTCTCTATCTCCGCGAACTTTATCCTAGCTTTTTCTTTCATTGTGTCAGCCGCTTTGATGCTACATATCTCAGTACGTTGACTGCTTCTCTTAGGCTGTTGTTGTGTGCCGCTTGTATTTTCTTCTTTGAAGTGTTGCATATGTGTCCCCATGCGAGAGATGCATATGTTAGTATAGGAAGGATTATACTGTTTATTAATCTTATTGTTGTTTTCAGTCTGAGTTTGCTTTTCCTTCCTGCTGGGCCTCTTATAGATGCTCTTGCCATGTTGGCTTTTTGTACTGTGGCTTCTACATGTTTGCCTTTATCCATGATTACTCAGGGGTATTTTGCTTCGCTTTTCCACTCGATGGGATTGTCTTGCACAGTTACCTGTTCTTCTGATTGTTGGTGGCCCTTTTTGAAAAGTACAGCCTGTGTCTTATCGGAGTTTATTGCTATTTTAAATTTTAAACTCCTTTCTTCTATGTCGTATAGCGCTGTTTGTAGGTTGTTTACCTCTATGTCTACATTTCTATGTTTAGTCGCTATCGCTGTGTCGTCGGCATAGAGACTTAATAGTGTACCCTGGTGTTCTAGGTATGTCTGCTGTGTATATCGTGTACAGTAGAGGTGACAGTACTGCTCCCTATTGCACTCCAGCCTCCGGGTTCCCGAGTTCCTATCCGGACTTTGAAACTACGATTGCTCAAGTACGAAGAGATCAGCCTTGTCATTGCTCCGCTATACCCGTATCTTCTCATTTTGTAGATCAGTCCTTTATGCCAGACTCTGTCGAATGCTTTGCTTACATCTAAGAAGGCAGCCCCTGTAAATTGTTTGTCGTTGAATCCAGCTGCTATGTACTCTATTAATCTGAGTACTTGTAGCTCGCTGGAGTGTTCTGATCTAAAGCCAAATTGGGTTTCGGGTATTGTCTCTAATCTGTCTGTTTGGCCTTGGACGAGTATTATTCTCTCTACAATCTGGCTGATTGCAGGTAGTAAGCTTATTGGCCTGTAGTTTTGCGGAAATGTGCTGTCTTTTCCGGGCTTTGGTAACATTATGACATGGGCCTCTTTCCATCTGTTTGGGAATTTCTTGAATTTTAGCATCGCGTTGATTATATTTGTTAGATATACTATGACTCTCCCTGCTAAGTATTTTAGAGCTCTGTTCGTGATTTGATTGGGACCAGCTGCTTTTTCGGCGAGCTGTTTTTGATTAGTTCGTTTATCTCCTCCGGTGATGTAGGAGGGATGATTTTGTTTCGGTTTTCGTGTCTTTCTCTTTGTCTTTCAACTTCTTCTATAAAGTCGATGTCCTCGTCTGGGTGGTAATTTAATGTAAACTCTCTCTCGAGAGTACTCCTCATTGCCTCTGCTTTTTCCTCTGTGGTGTAAACTATTCCGTTTTCTCAATGTCATGGAGGGATTGGCTTTCTGTCGTTTCTCAGTATTCTTTGAAGTCTCCAAATATTTTGCATATTTGGTCCTTGCTCCTCCATATCTCTTATGTGGTTTTCCCAGCTTTCACTACGGTGTTATTGTAGTGCTGTTTTGACCTCTCTGTGTAGCCTATTTCCTCTATTTGTGTCTGCCTGATTCCTTGTCCTTCTTGCTGTCTGCTTAGCTCTGTTCTTTTCCCTTATCAAGTGTTTTATTACTCGTGGTATATCCTTAAATCTTCCAGTGTGCATTTCTACTTCCTCTTCTATAGTGCTCTTTTTGAGATCATTTTATTAAACATGATCTCGTGAAACGTGAAATAATGTCGACTTTACACTACATGATTTTATCATATGACAATATCATATGAGATTTGTTATGATTCCTCGTTTTTATTAAGTTTTAAAAAATCGTGTTTACACTGATTGATAATAAGTTATGACTTATGATATGAGTGAAAATGAGGTTTTATTGATTTTTCTTTTTGTTTATGGTCATAGAGATATTAGACACAGTATAGGTAACAACTATTAAATGTTTAAAACTATTAAATAAATCTTTGTTCGCATTGGCTTCTAAAATTTTGATAATAATAGATTATTACGAAGAAATAGTGAACGGGGTATATCAAATTTAGTGTTGATATTATACCAAATTAAAAATAATTCTAAAGAAACTAAACTAAAATTATAACTAAGATGACTAGAAAACACTCAACTAAGAATAAAATAAACTAAATAAATAATAAAAGAAAAATACGACAAAATAGCACAGATTAGACAATATGCTCAATATCAATGCAAAAACAAAAAATAAATAAATAAAGAATAAGGGAATGTCGCTGAATTGACATAAGAATAAGGCGCGATATTTAAATATATTGCTGTTGCAGATATTTTTACCAAAAATCATGATTTTATCACGCGGAATAGGTACCGTCCTATTCTCCTGTGACAAGCTATGACGAGCCCCATGGCAGATCTTATGACAAAATCATATGACAAATCACACAGTGTAAACATGAAAATTTGACTTCATGACCAAATCATTAGACAAATCACATGATAAATCATGTAGAAAGTCGACTTAAGTTAAATTTACAATATACTCGTAATATCGTTTGAAATAATAAAAGAAAAAAGTTACATTAAAGGTCGCGCGTATGTACCACATGTGCTAGAAATTATAACTAATTGATATAATTAATTGAATAATTGTTATAATTACTTGAATAAACTGACCTCAAGCCACAACATTTGACGACGCATTATTATTACTAAAGTTATAAAATAAAGAGCCATGACTCCCTCAAATTTACAAATACAAAGGTGGAACTGGAGGTGACCGTATGTACCACATACGCGCGCCTATACGAATGCTATACCAAGTTTAAATATTGATTTATTTCAGGTGAAAAACCAGCTAGAATCTGCAAAATCCAATGTGGTTATAGATCAACTAGATGTCACATCATTAGCTCCCAGAAAACCAGATTGGGATCTTAAAAGAGATGTTGCAAAGAAATTAGCAAAATTAGAAAAGCAGACCCAAAAGGCAATTGCAGAATTAATCAGAAATAGGTTAAGAGAAAGTAAACAAGAAGATTTGGCTGCTATTGTAAATGCTGAAGCATCAAATGTATAAACTGCAAATTTCTAATCTAACAGACCTTTTTATATTTGTTATTTTAACTTTAATTAATAAAATTAAAAATATATTTTTATGATGACTTTTTGTTATTCTAAACACTCTAGGACATACCAAGTTAACATACTCTTACCCTTTCACAAAGAATAACCCACCCATATGTAATCAATGTAACATTCGATTAACATTTGAACACTTTTTAATAAATTGTGTAAATATAATAAAGAAAGACATCCTTATAATATCTCGAACTCTATATCAAAAGCTTTATTCCTTTATTCCTATTATTAGTCAAGAGTATTCCTATGATAATATAATTAAATATCCAAGTTCTACGTTAAAGCCAAGGGTATGGTTTAGATACGTCGATAACACTTTCGTGATTTGGGGTAACGGAGTAGAAAAACTTAACGATTTCCTGTCTTATATCAACACACTACACCCAAATATTCAATTTACGATGGAAACAGAAAAAGATAAACAACTAGCGCTCCTAGATGTATTAGTAAATCGAAAGGAAGGTTACTTAGGACATAAAGTGTATCGAAAACCTACACACACACGGACAGGTACCTAAACAGGAACTCAAATCATCACCCAGGCCAAAAACCAGGTATCATCAAAACTCAGACACATCAGAATTTGTGAACCACACAGTATCTGCAAAGTGAACTTCTTCATATTGAAATGGTTTTACCAGAAGAGAAATACATAAAGCGATGAACGACGTCTCTAGAAGAAAGGAAATGAACAGAATGTATACGCAAAGCGTTCTTGCCCTATATATCGGGGGTAACGGACAGAATTGGGCGAATACTTAAAAAAGCCAATGTGAAGACCATTTTCAACCTACCTTAACATGGGTGACAGGTGAAGGACATTGACAGCAGACAAGGAGGAGAAGAAGATGGCTCGTTAGATATAATCATGTATTAAGTTTAGTTGGTCTTTAATAAAAGATATTAAAAAGAAACTGGTCGTCAATCTTATTAAAAGCCCACAGAGACAACGTAACATGGTGTCAGAAGTAAAAATTCAGGTCAGATTATAGTAACGAGTATTATAATTGTGTTGTTAGCTTAGATTAAGATATAGGCGCCGGAGTTAGGCAACACAGAGGACAGGGATGTCATGTGAACGTAGCCGAAGCTCGGGCAAGCATGTATGTTTGAGGGTTGAGAATAAACTGATGTTGTGAAGTAACGATTATTATTTGTAACCCCTCTTTGATAACACGACATGGTGGCAGCTGGTGCTTTGTTTTGTTAACATTAAACAAGCAAAGAGTGGTCGAACGTGACAACAGTGCAAATCTTATGCATAACCTATAAATCAGAGGGGACCTAAAATCCTTAAAATGGATGCACCTATCCAAATAAATAAAGAAGTGTTTGCGAACATTTCGGCTCCAAGCGAATTTGATTTTACACAGCCCCAGACATGGCCCCAATGGAAGAAAAGAGTAGAGAGATATATGTCTGTAAGTGGATTTGGACAAAAATCTGACAAGGATAAATTAGACCTACTGTTGTATTTAATGGGAAATGAAGCAGAAGATATTTTACTTCAAAATCAACCAGTGGAGAATGCATCCTTTCAAGATGTAATGCAGATTTTCGACAATCATTTTATTCCCCGAAGAAATACAATCTTTGAGAGATTTCAATTTAATTCAAGGGTACAAAGGCCAGGAGAACCTGTGGGAAACTTTATTTCAAGTCTACATACTCTTGCAGAGCACTGTAGCTATGGAGCTCTTAAAGATGAGTTAATTCGTGACAGGATAGTTATCGGAATAGCTGATAAAAAGGTGAGCGAAAGAATGCAACTAAATGATGGTTTGACACTAGAGAAGGCAATACAAATAGCACGCCAAGCTGAACTTCAAGATAGTCAAAATAGAATTATGAGACAGGAGCAGTCAGTTAGTGCAGTTAAACAGGACTACAGGGAGCGTAGTGATAAAAGACATCAAGGTAAGAGTTTTGCTAAACAAGAAACAACTCATGAGAAAGTTAAGGAAGGTTACAGATGTGGATACTGTGGCATACCTACATGTAAAAATAGGGAGAAATGTCCAGCCAAGTTCTCTGAATGCAGATCTTGTTCACGTAGAGGTCATTGGAGTGTGATGTGCAGGAAGAAAGCTGTCAGAGCTGTTAAGTGTTCAAGGTCCACCAGTAGCAGTAGTACAGATGACGAAGGAAGGGATTCAGTAAATCAAGTGGTACATACAGATTCCTTTATTGGCCAAGTGTACCTAGACAAGAAGGATCGTTGGTATGTAGACATCTTATTGGATGACAAATTTAAGGTACCTTTTTTTGTGGATACAGGAGCAGATGTTAACTGCTTTCCCTATGAAAAATTACCTCCAGAATATGTGGGTAAAATTGTGGCATGTGATGCAATTGGTGCAGCGGACGATCATAAATTGGACACAGTGGGTAAGCTACATATAAAATTTACTTATGACGGTTTTACAAATGATGAAACAATATATTGTATTAGGAAGTTGAGACAACCTATATTAAGCAGAGAATCAATCATTAAGTTTAATGTTCTAAATTTTTCTAATTGTAAGCTTAAACAGGTAAATCAAATCAGTTGCAGTGTTGTTCATTGTAATCAATCTGAGAGTACTAATATGTTTTCAAAATTTAATTTAGAGTCTGTTGCTAAAACATTTCCTGGTATTTTTAGTGATATAGGTGAATTTAAAATGGAAATGTCAATTAGAATTAAGCCAGATGCTAAACCTTATGTACAGAGCGTTCCCAGAACTGTTCCTTTACCTCTGTTACCAAAATTAAGAATTGAAATTGATAGATTGCTAAAATTAGGGATAATTGAACCCATTGAAGATCCTACTTCTTGGGTCAGCCCAATTGTTTGTGTGGACAAGGGAGATTGTGTACGGCTTTGTGGTGACTATACTAAACTTAATGAAAACGTGTTACGGTCACATTTTCCTCTCGGGAAAATATCTCATACACTAGCACAGTTGAAAGGGTCTAAATTCTTCTCAAAATTGGATACCACAAGTGGGTTTTACCAAATAAAATTGAATAAGGAAAGTCAGTTGTTAACAACTTTTATAACACCTTTTGGCAGATTTTTCTTTAAAAGGCTTCCATTTGGTATATCTTGTGCCCCAGAGTATTTTACTATGAGATTTTCAAAAATCTTAACTGGCATTGAAGGCTGTGTTGTCCATATAGATGACATTCTTATTCATGCAAGGACAATAGAGGAACATGACAATATTTTGAACACAGTCCTAACAAAACTTCATAAGGAAGGTATTACACTAAATAAAAACAAATGCTCTATAGCAACAAAAACAGCTAAATACTTGGGTCATATGGTCTCTGAGCAAGGGATATTAATTGATCCAGATAGGGTTAAAGCTATCCGTGATTTTCCTGAACCAAAAAATAAGACTGAGCTGTCAAGATGGCTGGGTATGATTAATTTTGCTGCAAAATACATTCATAATAAATCTGAGATTCTTGAACCATTAACACACTTACTAAAAAAAAATATTAACTTTTTGTGGGGTCCAGCACAAGATAAAGCTTTCAGCACTTTAAAACAAAAGTTAGAGAGCCCTCCAAATCTAGCGTTTTTTGATGCTAATAAAACCATAATTGTTAGTGCAGACTCAAGTTGTTTTGGTATAGGTGCATGTCTATTTCAAGAAAATGTAGATCATACTCGGGAAATAGTGGCTTTTACATCTAGGCTTCTGAACTCAGCTGAAACACGATACGCTCAGATTGAGAAAGAAGCTCTTGCACTTACATGGGCAGCAGAATATTTTTATGATTTTATTTCAGGAGTTCCTAACCTAATTTTTGAAACAGACCATAAACCTTTACTACAAATTCTGCAAACTAAAAATTTAGATGAGTTAACGCCACGTTTGCAAAGATTTCGAATGCGTTTAATGCGATACAAGTATACTGTAATCTACACGCCGGGAAAAAATTTAATTGTAGCAGATACTTTAAGTCGGGCCCCTTTACAAACAGATACGTTAGCTAATAAAGAACTAACTGCTGAAACTGCAGCATATGTGCAGTCAATTATTCATAATTTACCAATTAAAGATTATTTTTTGAATTTAATAAAAACAGAACAAGAAAATGAATATATTTGTAAAAAACTAAAAGAATATTCTTTGTCTTCTTGGCCTGAAAGATCTAAATTGCCATTTGAATTGTTGCCATACTATCAATATAGATATGAAATTTCCTATTCGGAACAATTACTTTTAAAAGGGTCTCGCATAATCATTCCTAAGAGTCTTCAACTCAAGGTGTTGGAATTTATTCATACAGGCCATATGGGAATTGTAAAATGTCGAGATCGTGCCAAACAGAGCGTTTGGTGGCTGGGTTTGTCATCCCAGATTAATAACCTTGTCACACATTGTCCCCAATGTGTTGAACACAGAGTAAATCATAGAGAAACATTTCATAAAGACAATACTGTACAAAGGCCGTGGCAAAAACTGGGGGTTGATTTGTTTAAATGTTATGATAAGTGGTATTTGATTGCCACTGACTACTTTTCACATTGGTTTGAAATTTTTACTTTAACCAATATGACAGAAGATGCCATTATTCCTAAGCTTAAAGATATTTTCTCTCGTTATGGTATCCCAGAGGAAGTTAGATCCGACTGTGGTACTCAATTTTCATCAAAATTTATAAAGTTTTCAAAAGAATATAATTTTGTTCATACGACGAGCAGTCCGCACTGGCCTCAGAGCAACGGTGGAGTGGAACGCACTGTACAAATTGCAAAAAGATTAATTCAGAAAAATAAAAAAGAGGACCTAAGTTTGGCATTGTTAGCATATAGATGTACACCCCTAGAATGTGGTGTTTCACCTTCTGAATTATTAATGAATAGAAAATTAAGATCTAACTTACCCCAGCTTCCAAGCTTATTAAACTTTTCAAAAGAACCAAACACTAAAAATAAAAAGAATGAAATAAAGGATAAACAAGTGAAAAACTACAATAAGCGACACAATGCCAAGGATTTAGATCCTCTTAAGGTTGGT